GCTACTCAATTAGTCACACACACACACACACACACACACACACACACACACAAGGTGGTTTGCTCTCAGCTTGGAACGGGCCGGCTCGGGAAGGCGGCTAGGAAGAAAGGCAGCTGATTCATTCTCTTCCACCACGCGGGGCACCTCGCCATGTGCCCAACAAGTGGAGGAAACCTCGACAGCACTCGCAAAGCCTCAAAAGGCGAACTAGAGCAAAGACATGTTGGCCCTTGCCCAGTGTCTTTCTACAGCTGGTCATGGAGGAGAGGGGTCGAGAGCGGGACAATCAGCGAATTGCGCAATCCGAGAATCAAGGCTGGCTTTTGCACTACTCCGTACCGTGTACGAAATTCTTACCGACGTATTATCTGATGGTCACCCGGTGCAGGGGAGAAGGAGGGGGGAGGGGGGGCGTGAAGAAGCAGCAGGGCCGAACGCACGTCCAATGGACCGGCCACGAGAAGGGCTAGCGAAACAGGGCAACCTCGGCGCGCAAGCAAAAGAAGTGAGAATCAGTTTTGCCCAGTGCTTTTTGGGTGATGGAGAGGGGAAAAGGCATCGCAATAACTACATGTCACAGACGCGTGTTGCCTCTGTGGGAAAAAAAGGTTGTACACGGGTAAGAAAATAAAAGGCTAATTCTTAACAGTGAGTGGGCTATCCGTCGCGGGCCACGAGGGGTAAAGTCAAAATAATAATAATAAAATAATAAAGTCAAAAGTTGATCAAAGGACGAAAAGAAAGCCACTTGATTGCTTGATTCATAACCCACCTTTTTTTTTTGGCGCGCGATAGGTGGTTTCCAGTGAAGGAGCTAGTTTCGAGCTCGAGGATGTGGGCGCGGACAGACTATCCGTTAACGGGAAATCCTCGTTTCTCCAACGTACAGTACATATTACATACATACAGTAGGATCTTGTGGCGTATTTCTTTTTTAAAAATCCACTAGAAAAGAAATGGCTGGCCCAGCGACAAAAAGGTGACAGATGACCGGCGCAGCTCCGTGTGACGAGACGGTCGAGGTGCAGCAGCTTTGCGCTGATGGGGAAGCTCCCATTCGCCATTCAACCCCCCCGAGGGACCAACCGAATAGCGCTTGAAGAAGAAAACGAACCCTCTTTTGCTTATTTAGCGTCGCTGCTCAGAGGCCTGCTGGCGATCGAGATTGGCCCATCGCTCGCATGCTGCTAGCCATGGGGGCCCTGGCTAGCGCGTGTCTAGTGGCATCAGAGCTGGGGCAGGCGGCTGCCAATGGGTCTGCTGGAAACACCCACTGGAGCTTCGGTGGACAGACAAACGACAAACGAGCAGTGGCAGTTCTTTGATGCTTGTTTGCCAGTATTCTTCCAGTGGGTGTTCTTCATTTCGCTCTGCCCCAGGTAATTTCATTCGTACAAGTCTGTAATTCGCGCGAAGAACCAAAGTAATCCATCACATGGACCAACCACCTGCACCAAGCCCGCAAGCCTCCATCACATCTCCCACGTCCGTCTGCTCTCATCAAGATAGCCAACGTATGTGGTAGTCCCAGTCCGTGTCCTCAGAGCCGTGACCAACTTTACAGTACAAATTAGTCATGTTCACTAACTACCTCCAGTCTCATGCTCTCGTCATTTTTGCACAGACCTCCAGGACCTATCGCCCATACTGTCCATGTCCCCCTCTCCCTCCCCGCAGTACTAGCCTGCATGCTCGCCTACAAGTATCTATTTTGGGCTAATTATACCTATCAACCATCCTGCTCACCCATTTACTTTTACGCGAGCTGTTCTGGCTGCAACCACACTATTTGCCCCCCCTCGGCGCTTACACCACCACCGGACTTGTATATGTTGTACTTCTATTTTTAATTTATCCCACCACATGCTTCTTTTCCGGACTAAATACTAGCTCATCATTAAGCTTCCATGTACCCCTCACCGGTACTTGTCGCAAACACCGGGCCTCGCTCTCTCTCTCCTTCGGCAGCCCAGCCGGGGCTTTTTGCTCCGTTCTCTCCCCAATTCACCCAACTCCATTTGCCGAACTCCACCGCCGGCTCTGCTTTGAATCCCGGAGGGCTTGTTGAATCAACTTCCTGGCAAAAAAAATCCACGTAGCACACCAGTTCGTTGATCGGGCTCGGCGGCGGGCTCGGCGGGCCATTGGACGCAAAAAGGCCCCCCCGCGATCGGACCTCTGTCTCTCTTCCTATGCGATTCCTATTTTGCAATGGGGCGGTATCCTGCCGTGTTGCCAATGCAAACTTGGCAACTCACCCAAACGGCGTTACTCTACAGATTACGGATTACAAACTAATCCGATACAATATTACCAACTGTTCCCACCCCTTTTTTGGCCGGAAAAGTCGTGCGCCACCACGCGTGGCTTTACCGCCTTCTGCTCCGGAGCGGGAACCAACTCGCCCCAACCTCAGCAGATTTTTTGCCCTTCACCGTCTCTAGCCAACTACCTACCCTGTACAAGACCAGCCAGCGTCTGTGCTCAACCCCCCCCCCTGGTAAGTCTTGGGTGTCACGACGGTGACTTGCATGATCGACTACTATCTGTTGCCGTGTCTCCGTATAGTTTTTTTTTTCTTCTTTTTAGTCTGTAATGGTTATAGTTTGTAGTCCGGACCGCTCAAGAAAAAAAAGTGAGCCGCATGAACTGGACCACCCGCTACGGGGTCGGCCGTGGCGCTTAGTAATTTGCCGTCCTTCATCGCCGGGGTTTGTCTGCTTGCGGTTGGATCGTCGCCGGGGCGGAAGAAAAAGCAGTGCAACGATTGAAAAGCCACGCGACGAGGGAACAAGAAGCAAACACGGCCAACAACAAAAAGTGACAGATTATTTGTCCGTATTTAGTTCCAGTACCCAACTACCCTCCCAATCGACAACAACGGCCGTGAAAATAAAAAGGCTGCCCTCCAGTTTCCCCGGCGCCACTTCCTTTTTGAAACTTGTGTGCGCCACCGACTATGGAACTACGAATTAGTTACATGATAAACCGTTGTGCCTGCGGGCCATTCACACCATCTTCCACTTCTTCTCCAACGCCATGGCTTGATAACCTGCATCTGCCTGCTTGTCCACAAGCCCGCTCTTCTCAGCCGTCAAACGCCAAAGAAGCAGTCGGTCGTGGCTTCTTTTCATGGGCTGGGCCATCCTGACTCGTCATAATACCCTCGACAATCGTCTTTCTTCTCTTCTTCCTCTTCCTCTTTCCCTGCCACAAGCGGTTTGGCTTGCTTCCGACGCCGCCGCCGCCGTTGAAACCTTGTTCTGCGCCCAGCATGCACGCAACTCTCTTCCCGCGCCCAGATCTTGTCCTGTAGGCTGCACAATTGATTGACTTTTACCTGGTCCACCTCGGAGACCAGACGAAGAAACATGTCACATTGTTCCAAAATTGTCTACACCTCACCTCGTCTGACCGTCTGACGTGCTCGC